GGGCATTCCAGCAAGGTAGTCACGCTTCTAGTTCTATCTTACTAGGTAGGTGCTGTTGCCGGCGTTTCGCACCGATACTCGCCTCCAACACCGTTCCGTGAACTTTCGAATTAACGTCTTCTTATCACCGCCCGCCGTACCACTATCGAACGACAATGCCTTCACTGGCCTGACCCCTGCCTCGATTAAGTGAGCCGCGCGTTTGCAATTCATGCTCGCCACAGCCATCGGTTTGTGAATTCGACCTTTTGACGTCCCTCGCCGAACGACGCTCCCGATTGCATACTACGGGCTGGCGCAGCACTGCATCGTCGTGAGCCCTCAAACGAGACTTTGCATACCGTCTTTCCTGCTCTTCGGGCGTGCATTTGTATGGTAGAATACTGCAAAGAGCATAGGGTTACGTACACATGGACGCCGGCGATGTCTTCCGGCAGGGACTCGGCTCTGTCATTCCCAGGCCACCGGTAAATTTCCAGCACCATTCTCCGCCGCGCAAACAGCCGAACCACCAGCGCGATGATGTCTCCGAGAGCGACAGCTCATCACATCGCATCGCCCATACGCTGACCGCATGCTCTCGATGTCGGCAGGTGAGGAGCCCTCTTCCCCTATTGCTCCAGCATCACATAGCCTCGTTATCGCACTGTCAACTTCCCTGCTCAGCCTGTTTAGGCATCTGTCGTACTCATGCTCTACTCTTTCATATGGACTCTACTGATCCGGTCGTTGCTCTTTTCGATAGCGGAAAACACGATGCGACCCAACCTTGCCACGATGTCTCCCCTGTGAGAGGTCCGGATCCACATGCGAGTACTGGGATACAACGAAGGGAAAGAAGATCAGCCGTTTCTATGTCGTGAAGCTTCAAGAGAAAGTTAGGCAATTAGAGGCGGAGCTATCTCAGTATACGGATGAAGACAATGAATTTCCCCGAAGTGCGGAGGACATGATGCGTCCAGGGGGCCTTGTACGCCTCAACGAGACCGACGAGACCCCTCGATACCTAGGCCCTAGTTCGGGAATCGCCATGACGAGGCTTCTCATGGAGCAAGCGAAGAGGTACACGGATTCTCAGCGCATATCGCAACTCATACCAGAAGTGCGCGCGAGGCGAATGGATCGGGCGAACAGGATGCAGAGTATTGTTAGTCTAGGAGGAAGTATCAGCGGTCCAGCTGGCGCAGCAAGTCGAAAGAAGAGCTATCCCATGATCAGTGCAGTCCCTGCGCAGCAGCTACCGACAAGGCAAATAACGGACAAACTGGTGGATGTCTTCTATCAGAGAGGTATGACCAATCGACTGTGCTATCTGCCGAAGGTCGTTTCGTGCAAGAATTCTAATAATTCTATAGCTCAGTTCTTCACCCCAACTTTGCACGAGACGGTGTTTGCACAAGACCTCCAAGCTGTGTACGACGGCAATACGGACCCCTACAAGAATTTTGTTGTTCGGATGGTCCTTGCAATCAGCCTCCAAAAATTGGATACTCAGTACGCCGGTCTGGCTGATAGCTACTATCTGGCCGCTATGCAATACTTTGAAGATGTGATCAGACCCAAGAATCTGGATACTCTTCAGTGCTTGATATTGATTGGCCTATATTCACTATTGACTCCCACTAGGACGGCCGCTTACTTTATTGTTGGACTCGCCACCCGGATCAGCCAGCAGATTGGTCTTGCGGACGAGAAGACAATATCTGCAGGCTATTCAATGGGGCTCGTGGATCCTCTGACTATGGATATGAGGCGTCGTATGGCGTGGATAGTGGCTAGCAACGAACTTGGTCTAGCACATACCATGGGGCGTCCGAACGGGTTTGCCAAGTCTGATGACTTCATGGATGTCAAGTTCTTCGATACAGTAGACGACGAAAACATTACGAAGGAGGGGATCAAGCCTGGGCCTGCAAGCGAAAAGAAGCTTGTGGCAATTCATTTCTGCAAAATGCGACTCTGTCAAGCAGAGATCCGGAGGGTACTATATGAAAAGAAACGAGCCGAACCGAGAGACGAGAATAGCCCCTTATTTCTGGAGATGGAGCAGAAGATCCAAACCTGGTTAGACAGTGCACCAGAGAACCCTGCATGGTGCAAGCCTTGGTAAGTATCTGCGCACATCTCTCCTTCAATTAACTTGGGGCTGACACAGCATGTAGGTTCACTGGCCGCTTCCACGGGATGAGGATCTTCATCAATCGGCCCAATCCACAGATTGCGAAGCCTTCAAGTAGATCCGCCTTGAAGTGTTACGAGTCAGCTGTCTATATCATCAATCTTTCCAGCCAGCAAGTGAAGAAAGCCGCCGTTGACATCACTTGGGTATTTCTCATTACTCTAAACATGGCTGTCAATACCCTTCTTTGGACCGTTTCCTATAGAGAAGTCCGTGAGGCTCATCCACGCGAGGAAGTGGAGGAGTTTGTCAACATCTCACTCGACATAATTGATCAGTGCTCGGAGAGATGGCCGGGAACCCAGAATGCATCCCAACTCTACTCCATTTTTGGAAAAGCTTGTTTACAAAGCTACGACGTGAAAGATGAGCCCATTGAGTCGTCCATACGCAGCAATTTTGCCTCGTCGCCTTCTCTAGCCGATACGAATTCTCCGTCTGCCTCGGAAAACTCTATCCCGACCACGATATCGTCACAGTCTCAACAACAGCCACCACGATTTAATGCTCCGCAATTTGGGTATGTTTTCGACGCTACCCCTGAGCAGATGTCAACGTTCAACTTCGACGATGACGCCTTCCAGCATCCTACATTCCGCTCCAACTCTATATTCTTGAATCCGTCGACGGAGCCAACCGGCAGGAGGTTTTCTTATTTTCCCCCAGACTTCACACAGCCAGGCGATTCGCCGCTGATTGAAGAGCCAACGCCACCAGCGACAAGCACACCCCATACCACCACACAATCACCTCCCGCTGTCACGCCGCTAGCACATCAACTCCCAACTCCTCCTGAATCACTTATCGTACCCGGTTCGACAAATCCTAACCTCTCACCACCCGTGTCAATGGGTCCGAGGCATGATGGGAGCCCGGCACCGTCAATGCCGCATACAAGCCCAGTGCCAATGAATATGGGTGTTCATCCCGGCCATCCTATGAATTTGAAATTTGAACCATCGGAAACTCCAAAGGCGCAGCCAACTCCACAACATACTCCTCAACAGCCACAGCGCGGTCGTGGGTTTGCTGTACCGCCTCTTCCACCCCATGTTACTAGTGGGGTACCGCAGCAGCGGCCGTTACCACCCAGTACCGTCTCTGATTGGTTTTCGCCCCCTCCTCCGTTTATATCGCCATACGCCTTTGGTGGTGTGGGAAGTGGTCCAGGCTTTTGGGACAATACCTCTACCAGTAATCCATCAGCCGCATTTTCAGGGCTTGGGTTGACCAATGGTTCCTACGGAAACAACACACCTAACGTGGGGGGTTTCAACGGCTCTGGGATGCAACAATATGACTTCCCAATGGATCGCCAAGGGAGCCTGACTCAAGAGCAACAGATGGAGCTGATGAGTGTTCTTGAAACTGAAGGAATGGGTGAAATTAATAGCTTTCTGAATATGGACATGGGTCTCAGCAGTGAAGGTCTTGACGGTAGAGTCCGTTGGACTTGAGCTGCCACATTGAGCAAGAATTCTTGATTGTGCCTTGATATACATGGGTGCATTGGCTTAGGTGTGCGGGAACGGTTTTTGGGGGGTCATATACCAACTGGATTAGACATGGGTGGAAAGCTATTGTTCACAATGATAACCACAATGAATGAATGAATTTATCTCAATAAAGAAATATTACTGACTATTCGACAATCCGTCAACGGGCAAATCTAGTGTTCTCTTCAATGGTCAGTTGTTAGAGCACAATGCCAATCTTTACACGACTGCGTCAGGGGTGTCGGCATATGTGTTTCTTAAGCAACCTATGCCCCTGACTCGGCCCCAGTTGTTATAATTAGTGCTTTTTTTATGGCAGCGATTGACGAGAGCCGCAAAACCTAACAGGGATCTAGTAGTGGAGGAGTCATGAACGCACTAGATTATTATCATGATATAGCGCCGCGGCGCCTTACCAATGTTAGTAAACTATCCCCACAGCGACAGCAAGCTTGTGGCCGCCTGAGTACCCATCCCAGGCGGCTCCAGATCGGAAACTCGTCAATAAATTGTTCGCCTGCGAACGTTATTTGGCATGCCATTGCTTGTCGGCACACTACTACTAATGATATAGTCTCGCAACAGAAGGGCCATTACCATGGCCAAGAAGAAGAATAAGAAGGCAGCAGACACCGTGGATAGCCCGGAAATCGACGCCACTGCCGTCCCCGGGGAGGTGCCGCCGCCCACGACCGCAAACCGGAAGCCATCGGCCCCCGACTCGAGGTCGAGGACAAAGACGTCGCCCCAACAAGCTGCTTCAGCCTCCTCTGCGCTCATCATATGTCGCAACAAGTACGTACCCAGTTTCCAGGTGTGTTTGCGCCGGAATTCGTGCCATGAGAGGCCATGGCTGCAAGATCCTTCTCTTGACATGATCCCTCATTGCTGCTTTCTGCCACATGCCAGGTGCCTTTTGAGCGGCGCATAAGCTCACCAGAGGCAGACACTGGCGTTACATCTCGTCCTTCCACGGTCCATGGCTCCAATTGCCTCCCGATATTCTCGAGACCCTTGCGAATGCAAACTACAACACCCCGCGCCCTCGCCCAATCGACCCGGCAGTCTTCTTCGACCTGGTCAAGATTCGGCGCCATGTCGACGAGGCCACGAACCTCTCTGTGCGCGCAGCCAGTGGGATTGCCTCCTCTCTCTCGAGTTTTGGCTCCTCGCAGAATCATGCGGCATCGCTGGGGTTAGGTATTGGCGGCGGGGGAACGACAATGAAATTGAGCCGGCAACGTATAGAACGGTTGCGGGAGCAGGCGACACAGAAGCTCTCGAGGGCGTACCACCTGGATGAGATTGCGTGTAGCGTTGCGACCATGCAGAGCGCAAGCGCATTGGAGGACGTGGCGAAGCTGGTGCTTCAGAGAAAGAACGACGACATTGATGCAAAATACGTGCACTTTTTCCACGAGAAGATTCCGAGTAGGCAGCTTGCCGAATCCACGAGCCTGCGGCCGCTAGATGAAGTTATTGCAGAACGACCTACGGATCCGGAGCCGTTGCGCACAAGAGCTACCGTGCGTGTCTTCAAGGACGATTATGTTGGCGCGGCGGGAGACTTGACAACGGCGCTGCAAGTATTGCGCTTGTATCGCCCGCATAAGAATGTTAGCCAGTCGCAGGACCTCCAACTGTATGATAGGAAAAACCGGCGACAGGACATCATATTGGAGGAGGACCAACAACCGAGCAGTCTTGAGGCTCAGCTGCTATTCCAGCGGGCAGGCGTGTATCTGACAATGGCATGCCAGCATGTCCCGGATGCACTAGCCGAGCCACCTCTACAAAAAGATTGCGAGGCGATGGATCAGAGTACTGCGAATGGTATTATTGACACTGACGACGAGCCTGGCACGCCTGCCACGGATGTGCCACCTGTTTTCGAAATGACAGGAGAGGAGAAGGCGGCTCAGAAGAGGCTGTTGGAGGCGCGAAAGGCCGTTAAAACGAACGCCAAGAAGGCACTCCGTGACTATCTTGCATTTCTATCCAACTTCGACTACTCACCCAATCTACCTATCGACATCACAGAGGAGTTCACCCGGAAGGTCAATTCGGCCGCTTATGGAGGATCGCGCCCTCCTAGGAACAGCAGTCAAGATGTCTCGAATGGCGACAAACCGCATGCTGTCTATGCTCTTTCTGAGCTTTTCTCTGCATCGCCACCTGCAGACCTGCCTCCTTATCCCTCCACAGATCTAATCATCCCAGCACCAGCATCTCAGTCTGACCCTACGATTACGAGCTCGACTACCACAGAGACACTCACGTATCATCCTCTGTTGACCGATGCGCTGCATTCGGTGCTTCTCTGTCATTCTCTGATTCAGACGTCATCCAAGGAGCTTCTGCGCCATGCGTATATGGTGGCACGTCTGGCACGCCTGGCTGATGGATATCCTATCTTCCAGGCTAGCCGCTCTCCTGCTCGCTCGGACTGGATGGAAGTGCTGCGGAAATCATCCAACTGGCTTCCACTTTCCGGAACATGGGAGTCTCTCTGTGCACCCGCACCCCTGCCAATGTTCCACACCTCATCACAATCCAACAGCAGCCCTTCGCCAAACGGTACAAGGCCAGCTAAAGCGCTCCCATCACCAGATACGAGTCCGAAAGACAACCAGCAACTGGATAAGGAGCGCCGGCAGCACAAAGCGATTCTCGAAGCGCTCGAGGATGAACGAGTGCATGACGAGGCGTCTTTTCGCGCCGCTATTAACGCACGACAGAAGCGGGCTGAGAGCACCTCTAGTCCTCCAACGCCGACGATCAGTGACAACGGCCAACTAGACTCCCTACTACTCAATCCAAACACGGAGGAATCGAACGCTCTTACAGAGTCGCCCAGTCTTCTGCCTGTTGTCAACGGCGAGAGCAAGACTGCTACGCCAACAAATGGAACTACAATAGCCATCAGGGAGAAGGAATCTCGAAACGGCGCAGCTGTTCACCCCATGGCCAAACGCTGGGCGACGAATGATGGTAGGGAGTACCCTATATTGACAGAGCGGGCTGCGGCGGTGGCCCGCTGGGTCCGCGAGGCTCCTGCTGGTGCTGGAGCCACTGGCTCGAGCGGCAAGCGGAAGAAGAAGCCTAAGAAGGCTGCAGCTTCTTTGAGCGCCTCAACATCCGCGTTGGAAATCAGCGCTGTTGAAAGCGCGACGGAGCAGATCACGTAGAGTTTGCGGACTATTTTGGGCTAACATACCTACGCCCTCCCGAAGTTCCCACATCTGGATAGGCAGCTTCAGCGACTACAGGTCGCGAAGGAATAGAAATGACTTCTGTAAATGATAACCTCTCATTGTGAGGCTGGCAATCTTTCTCTGTCCCATTCAAGTCACCTGCATGCGACTTTAATCATGCTTCTGACTGCGTGAACATGCGGGTCTCATTCAATGGATCTTAACGTGTATTAAAGTTCATCGATCACACGTCTGGAGGGACTTCACAGTAATATCATGATCGAAACCCTCCCTCTAAGTCATACTAACATGCTATATTCCCTGTTTTGGAATGCCGTCCGCGACACCGTAAGCATTGTTCACGGGCACAAAGGAATTGCAAGTCGCATCAACTCGTCTGAACAATGCTATTCAGTTATCCACTCTTTGTACATGTAGCCCGCATTGAAGCAAAATGTTACGGCTGTCAATGTAGAACAATGCATTGTTATATCACAGCGACAGCTCTGACTGCCTATAAAACGATTATAGAAAGCCGCTGCTCTAGCAAGATGTCGCGTCCTCACAAGGCATCACTGCGTCCTAGAACTCAACCCTTAACCACCCCGTCTGTTAGATTCATTACTTCCGTAACCTTCTGCTGTGTTTCACCACCAATACGCGCAACTTCGAGAAGTAAGATGGTGCAGTACGTCGCAGGGGTCAGGACAGACCCTCTGCTGCGAAGCCGGAGCAACAGAACTGTGGGATCAGAGAGCTCAGGATCCTTTCAGGATGTTCACGTGAAGAATGATGAAGTAACGGTAGGTTATGAGATGGAGATGTTGGTCGCAATACTCAACGAGCCCAAAGATCCACACCCAGACGATACACGCTGGTGCATTCCGTTTGTCGAGCACAGCAGCCGCAGCCAGTTGCCGGAATCAGCTCTAGCCAAGAAATCCATTATCGAGGTTATCCGAGAAGCTAGTCTTCCTACGATGCTCAACTCCTCTGAAGCCGCCAATCCTGAAGGTTTGCCCTCAGGGTTGCTAGTTTCACGTTACTATCGAGTCGTCTACGATTCGTCTCTACATGCAGACCAATGGGATATTGAACAAGATTGCTACGACTGGGTAGGTGCAGAACTCGTTTCGAGAGTTCTTCATTACCCTGAAGAATCGGACAGAGAGGTAAGGAGAATCTGCGGCGACCTTCGCGACAAGATGCGCTTACATCTCAACAGGACGACGGGGTTTCACGTCCACATTGGCGTCAGCGATCTCAGTCTCACACAATTAAAGAAGTTTCTGACCCTTTATTGGGCTGTTGAGGATGTGCTCTTCTCACTCTGTGCCCCTCATAGACGTGACAGCGTATACTGCGAGCCAGTGCGGGAGTCAGCCGATGCAGTCTTCGGACCAAGATGCCCCTCAGACATGATCGAGCCCTCGAAGATGACAGCACTATTTCCAGATATCGTTCCAGAAGATATCCGCCACGAGCTTATTCCAATTTGGAAAGCCAAGGAACGGCACGATCTCGTATATCAGCTTCTCAAGCCTCCTGCGATGGACGTCATCAGTGACCGAGCTGCTCTTGCTTTACGAGCACATGGCCCCTTCAACATTGGTACCGATGACTTCGATGTTTATACCTTTGAATTCCGTCATCTTCAAGGGACTGTCAATCCAAACCTCATCAAGAACTGGACAGACGTGATTGTCGCCCTACTACAAGGCGCGCGCAGACATCGCAACGACTTCAAAATGCTGTTGCAAGATCTGCTACAATCTGCGACCCTTCCACCAACGCAAGCCTGCAACGCTATGCTAACAGACCTGAGCCTCGAAGCAGCGATATCTTTCTGGGCACAGCAGCGTGAGATTAACTCCGTAGAGGCAGGCCGACGGACTGAAGGACTAGGCCCTAGAAACCCTCTCTTACCACCCATTGACGCAAATGACATTGATGGCCATGACTGTTGCTACGACTGGGATGAGCTTGAATTCATATAACAAACGTAGAATATATTCAAGGGTAGGTTCTTTGAATTGACATGTTACACGTACGAATGCGTTCATTTCCAAGTCTGGTGAATTTGAAAGTGTTTGTAAACGGTTAAAATTTGACGTCACATTAAAATCACTTCGACCCGTCAAATACTATGTGATGCGCAAGTATTTTCCATATGATTCCACGTAGCTTTCTCTCGTCTCTCTGCTGTAGCTTGCCTTCCCTGTGGTTATTCGCAAGCATCGTCGCTATCCGAGCCTTTCTGCGAAGGAGGAAGCAGTCAACCATTTGAGCGAACACAACAGCAAACAAGCCCTGGGGCCCACCCCAGAGCAGTGCTGTTACGAAACTAGAGGCATTGTTGTGTAGCGGTGTTGCCCACCAGATGATGGTTATCAGACCGACGAATCTAAAGGATTGCAAAGATGAGCGAGACAATCAAAATGCCTAAAACTGAATATACTGACAGAATGCAAAACACAATCACCCCAGGAAAGCTATTGCTCAACTTCTCCATTGATGTTTGGAGGATTTCGTCGAGTTTGTCTAGATCCCTTTGCAGGACGAGGCTTGTCTCTTCAACAGACCTAGGATAGATGCCATTCGGCTGCTCCATCACATCAACAGGGACTACTGATTCTTCATCTAAAACGCCTCTCAATGGAGCCATAGCCGTGAGGTGCTCATGCATATGAGATCTGATTTCCTTAAGAAAGTCAAGAAAAGTATAGGCATCCTCTTGAGATTTGGTGGCCGGTGGGTCGTCATGTTGAATTTCTGGCGCTTGCTCTGATAGGTTACTGTTCGCCATGGTTTACATTTGTAGCAATAGCAATGCAAGTCCTATCAAGCCGAGATCTTATGAAACTTTTAAGGGGCTATCCGAGTCGTTAAGCTGGATCAGAGATGCCATTACAAGGAGTGTGAATGTGGAGGAATTCGGGAGGTATCATGACCTAAATGAACGTCACGCGTTCGGTTCTCGTCCTCAGTGTGCCTGCCGTAAGGCATAATCGTGCGTCGATGCGGGGCATTTATGTGCCGTCTTACATCGCTTCTACCGTCCTCTATCATGCCAAGCCGACTCGCCTTATTCACGATGAACGAGCCAATTCCATATTCATGACAATCTTTGAAAACTATTCTTGGTTGAACTTCGTGAAAGAAGGAATTAAGCTCCTCTTATGTCATCCAGAGGAGGCGTGACTTGTTCCCATATCACCCCTCTCTCATATCATGGTAAGCCTTCGGCTAATTCGCACAATTGATACATGTGACCCAAGATATTCCAAAAAACGAATGATTGATGTAACAAGATCAGAGTGTACGAGGACTAATATACTATCTGATGCCATACCTGCTTGGAAAATTTTATACCTTTTTCAAGTTTGGGTATCTGGAATTGGTAAAGCTCATATCTTTCAGCCAGCCATCCAATTTACTCTTTACTGCGATAAGTTTAGCAAGGCGTCTTCGATAGTGGTGGCTGAGTCGCATGTTATCATCTTGGTGACTTCCATTAAACCGTCCCTGTTACTTCTGTAGGAAGCTCAACTCTTTAGCTATGAAAAGTGATGACCTTCTAAATTCATTGTATCGAAATGGCTAGCCTCCTCTCGTGGTGCTTGCTGGTGGTGCAGTGGACATTGAAGCTTGGAACAGGTCGCAAAGACTTTGACTAAAGGGAAACTTGGTTTAATCCACGGGCTCTCTTGTGTGTTTTCTTCATTCGTGCTTAATAACGTCAAGTAGTGGAAGGAAATTCCGAGCTACCCAGGAAGTAGCTAGCAGGATATCAGTAAGCTTATAGGAAACCACAACATTAATGTTAGACATGATCAGGATTTGCATGTTATTCAGGCTTTTACGCTTAGCCCCGAAATACCATACAATGTAGGACTTTCCTCGCACCAAAATAACGGACAGCAAAGACATAAAGATATTCAACAAGTCGATTAGCGAGTTTGCCGAGTTGTGTTTATGCATGCCTTGACGCCTACCGATGCATTACAAATTAGAACCAAGTTCAAAGTCAAGGGTGGAACATGCCTACGGCTTCCATGCGCCATGATACCTTCTTAAAGAGTACAGTAAAGATAGAACTCATGACTGCAGATACTGAAATGTTGCAGAATCAAACCATACAAAGAGAATATGCTAGACTAAATCTCACTCCACAGCCCGGGAAGACCTTCCTTAGGGAGTTGGACTTCCGACATCATCTCGATCTGTCTGTCCATGTTGAAGAGGCCCTCCTCTTGGTTCGTGCGAGCTTGTAAGAGGCGTTTCAGTGTGGCTAAATTCAGCGTCTGCCGGTGGTCCTATCGACGTTCCACGGTAGCTGGAAACTGTTTCCGCAGACTTCTGTCGGCTGTGAGATATCGATGTCTCGCTCATGGCCATATCGATTGCATGCTGTGAGTCGAATATAATTTGATCACGGCTGCTGGACTTATCGTTGGCTTGAGGCTCATGACCGTCTTTCGTAAAAGCAAGGCTATCGGTGAGATTCTGAGAATTCCGTGGGCTCGAGAAATCAAACTCCCGAAGTCGGGGTGACGAAACTGAGCCTGCAGAGATTGGTGGACTAACGACCGGAGCTCCTGGCGTGGTTTTGTTGTCTTGTTCGTCATTCAGACTTCCTAGAAGCATTTTGTATGCATCACCATCACAATGTTCCGTGTCGACAATATCTCTGTACAGCAAAACAAAATTAGTTGTGTGCTTATGGCCATCATTCATGGACAGTGGCATACCGGATGGCTTTCCCCTCGAGCTCAAGGCGGTATTTAAGTTGATTATCGAGTCGATCAAGTCTTTCTATCGCTTTTTGGTCGTGACCAAACCTAATGAATTCAACGCTGATAGGCCGATCCTGAAACTTCGTAGCCGATGTACCTGGAAAGCTGGTTTCGTCTTCGTCTACTATTGAGTCGGAACTAACGATTTCGTTGAGCTTGAGGAGGACATCAACAAGGTAGTTGTCAACCTCATGTTCA